ACTTACAAGAGAATAGATTTCTGCTGTTTTAAACTACCAAGTTCTTGGTAATTGTCACAGCAGTCATAGGACACTAATACAGTGACATTAACTATAGTGAGGAAAACTAAAGGAAGAGGTTTCAGCACAAGATGGAAATAAAATTTTTGATTTACACATTATTTCTGCGGTACATATGAGGATTTGATAATTTACATCAAATAAAATTGTTCAGCAAAGAAGCCAGATGTGAGTCCCTAGGGAGACAGTATAGCAGAGAAGACAGCAGGGCCCAGGCTTGAGCGCTACAGTATGAGAACATTTGGACACCAGGTGGAGACTGAGAATCCAACAAAAGAGGGCATTTGCTGACCCTGACAAAGGCAGTTAATGTAGAGGTGAGATCAAAACAAGACAGGATAGGTTGAAGAGCCAGGGAAGTCAGGAATTAGAGGGAGAATGGAGATTTCCCATTTGTAAAACGGTCAAGTTTATCCAGCCACGTTTGTTAGCATATTACAAATCAGAGTACAATGTAGAGTTTTGCAGAACTGAGAAAACTCCATTTGAGACATTCTTTTCCAGCTTGGAAAAAAGAAACATATCCCCAAGTGTAAATGCCAACTGTCTGTTATTAAATGAAAGTACTGCAAATGTCTCAATTTTATACAGTGTCTCCAAAAAATGGATATTGAAGCTTTAATCTGAATTTGGGTATACAGCAAGATTTACTTGCACTTAAAATGAATTTAAAAACCAAATCAGGTAAAAATAGATAAAATTAATGTATTAGTAATGACTAACAAATGAGTGTGTCACATGACAAAGAATTTATTTTACTGTCCCCTTTCCTCAAATTTTCCTACTCCTAGAAAGCAAACCCTAATGTGAAAAATGACTCAATCCAACTGTAGACTATTTGCAATGTCACAGAACAGAAACAATCATGTAATTCTGGGTTATTTTTTCATGTACGAAGTATTTTCCTATCAAGACATTATTTTTGATTTCAGAAAGAATATAATGAGGAAATTATTTTTGTTAAGAAGGAAAAAAGACACAAAGGCATTCTTTAACAATAATATAAACACAATGTTTAAGTTCTGGGAGAATATTCAGTCTTTTGCCAGACCTATCACATTATATCCTCCTATCTGTGGATGCCACTGACTATAAAAGATCATTTCACATGATTTAATTAGTTAGAAATATTAATATATAAACAATATGTATTCTGACAACACAGTATTTTCTTTCATATGCAGAAACAGTAATTGGCCTAATTAAAATAGCTGATACATTTTTTTTCCACAAGCAATACTTAAAAATTTGAAAAATACTTGAGGGCCCACATAAATAAAGTTGGAAATGAAAGAAAAGGTACTATCAACACTACAGAAATACAAAAGGTCATAAGAGATTGCTATGAACAATTATATACCAATATACTGGACAACCAATAATTAATGAATAAATTCCTAGAAATGTGCAATCTCCCAAGACTGATTCAGGAAGAAATACAAAGCATGAACAGACTAATTACCAGTAATGAAATTGAACCAGTAATCAAAAAACTCCCAACAAACAAAATTCAAGGACCAGATGACAACACATGTGAATTCTACCAAACAGCTAAATAATAGTTAATGTCTACCCTTCTAAAACTCTTCCCCCAAATTGAAGAATGCTTCCAAATTCATTCTGTGAAGCCAGCATCACCCTGATACCAAAACCAGGTAAAGACAGCACAAAAAAAGAAAACTACAGGTCAATAACCCTGAAGAATATAAAAGCAAAAATCCTCAACATAATATTAGCAAATCAAATCTAACAATACAGTAAAAGGATCATACACTATGACTGAGGTTTATCCCAGGGATGCAAGGATGGTTCAATATTCATAAATGAATCCATGTGATACACCATGCAAACAAATTGAAGAATAAAAATCATACAATCATCTCAATAGATGCAGAAGAACTTTTGACAAAATTCAGCATTCATTTATGACACAAACTCTCAACAAAGAGGGCATGGGGGAACATATCTCAACACAATAAAAGCCAGATATGACAAAACCACAGCCAACATCATACTCAATGGTGAATAGGTGAAAGCATTTCCTCTAAGATCAGGAACAAGACAAGTATGCGACCCTTGTCACTTTCATTCAATGACATAGTGTTTGAAGTCAGAGCCACAGAAATTAGACAAGAAAAAGAATCCAAACTGGAAAGAAAGAAGTAAAACTATCACTCTTTGTGTATGACATGATACTACATATAGAAAA